GGTTGTAGATCCCGTCGCGGCGGCCCTCGTCGCTCGTGCTATGCAGCTCCATGGCCTCGCCGAGGACGTCGCCACCCGTAGCATGCCGCGGTGCTCTCAGGTTCTTTGCGACGCCGACTCTGCGCGAGCCAGCACGGCTTTGCGGCCGCGAGGACGTTGCACTCGGCGAGGGCGCCTGTTGTGACGAGATCGGAAGCGTGAGATAGCGACGACTGCGCAGGCACAGAGTCGCAAACTGGCGGTACCGAGCGGCGATCTGGTCCTGGCCTGGAGCCGGGACGGACTCCTTGGCCGCTTTTGCGACGCTGTCCCAGGCCTGCGCCCGCTCTTTTCGGCATGGCTCGAGCACGAGACAAGTCGGAAAACCGCGACAACTTCGGCGGGCATTCACAGATTTTTACCACCTCGGAAGCAACGCCTGTGTGTTCACCGGTGCTAGAGAGTGTCGAAAAGGAGTCCACACTGCATTCATCGACATCAACGCGCCCCGCTGCGCCGCGCTACTCGCGAGAGCGGGAGGAGATTTGGGGAGATTGTCGGGAGATTTCCAAGATTGTCACCGGGGTGTGCGTGGGTAAGTCGTGCGTCCTACGTGCCAAGGCGATGTGCATGCTAGTCTGGCTCGTCCCAATACGCTCAGGGGGCCGAGAACAGCGCTCTGTCGCGCGCTACTTTCCGTGCTGCTGAGAGAGGCCCGGAGGGGCCCACCACGGCCCACGCTCGCCTCGGAAATGCAAAAAAATGCTCCCAGGCCCCCTCCCGCCCACCCCGCACACCTGCTTGACTGCTCCCGAGCCCCACGAGCCGAGGCGAGAAAGTTCGAATTAAAGTGCGGAGTTTGAACATGGTACTGGAACAAGCCAAATTTCAATTTATACGGCTCTTTACAGTTTACTCCAAAATGCCGTGACGACGTCTCCTAGTTAGTATGGGGAAAGAGCAAAGACGTACACGTACACGTAGACGAAAACTTCCCTCTGGCTCTGCCCTCTCCCCACTCCCCTATCTGTGACTGTCTGTAAATGCTCTTCACTCCCTGACAACAGGGCACCCAAGGCGCTCACCGCCGCTCAGGTGCGTGCGTCGAAGCGATAGCCGCTGCTGCGGGCGGCAAGCGCACAGGCACGCTGAGCAGGTAATGGATGCTATTGACCTCATTGTACTCGGCGCGCTCCGATCTCCACGGGCGGTAGCCTGCTGCGGCGGCGGAAGCCAAGAGCTGTGTCTGCTTGAGCGTATGCTTACCAGCCTTGTGCAGCTCGAGAGCCAGCTGCGGCGCACCACTGTGCAGCAGGGCCTCCAGCACCCCCGGCTGCTTCTCAGCCCCTTCGATGTCCACCTTCACAACGCTTGGCGTGCGGCCCACTCGCGCCACAATCGAATCGAGAGACAGGAACTCTGCTGTGGGAGCTCTCTTTATGGTGCGGCTCATGCGATGCTGCGTCCACCAGTTGCGCAGCGTGCCATTGCGGTCGCGCGCGGCTAGGCCGAACGGGTGGAAGCGCACATTGGGGAGCGAGAGCGCACCTGGAGAGGTCGTGGCCGTGCCATTGGCCAGCAGGCCGCGCGTCTGTGCTCGAAACGCTTCCAGAGTGTCCTGCGTGCGGGTCGCGGCTTTTCCATAGAGCGCCGCCCACGCGGCCGCGCTACCGCTCAGAACCTCCACAACCTGGGGCGTGGGGTCGAACATGTGCACCTCGCACCACGGCAGGCGAGTGGCAGCATCCAAGTCGAAGGCTGCATCAAAGCCGACGCCAAAGGAGAAGATCACACAGCGGTCCCGCACGTGCATCGCGCGGCGGTCCACGCACAAGGTCCAGCCGCCGTCACCCGCGCCACCGAAGCGGCGCTGCTTGGCGCAGAGGGCGGTGAGAGACATGAGATGTCTGCTGGTGAACCAGTTACTACTCGCACGGCGTGCGCGGCAGCGAGCAGCGGAGCCGCCGTCTGAAAAAAATATTACGCGAGGATCAACTTTTTGAAAAAATCTCAGGCGTGCTTCTCACAGTACATGCACACCCACAACCGGTGCGTCATCCGAAACGCGCACGTCACCCCCAGACGCGAGCCTCTACGCCCGCTGCGCCGCCGCCGCCGAGGAGGCCACATGC